AGTTAAGTTCATACCTCACACTAAACCCATAAATCATAACTTATAAACCTCAATGGCTGGGTTCACATAACAATCCATGCCAAAACTAATAAACCACATAGTTTATAAAAGTGTGATATTTGAACCAGTTAAGGCAGAGAAGACCTGAGTTTAAATAGCATAAATGGTAGGAAATATGATAAACTAAAAGCAGTCTCTGCCATCACTAACCTCATATTCACTGCTTACCCATCTACTTTCATATTTCTCAATTATAAAGCAGGATAATTGTTTGAGACCCAGGTCTTTAATTTTGCTTACAGTTTAGAAAGAGATTAGAATTTCTGATTTATTTATTATTTATATGAAAGATTTATGTGGCCGCCCATCTTTAGCAGCTTTTGACTCATCTTGGATTGATGGCAACTAATTTGTGAACTCCGTATCTCCCAGTCTATAATGCATGATAGTTTGCAGTGGATAATTTCTCTATAGTTACCATTTTTGGTCTGGTTAAAAACCAAGCAAACACCAATGAAGACCTCCCAACCGGTTTGCCCATCTTTGGAACAGATAATATTGATTTGACGGAGCATAAAGCCATTTTCTTAGCACAAAGACAAAGCTACGCAGAAAACCTTGTTGTTGGCTCTTTTGCAAAAGTGTCTTGCCAGAAAAAAAGTGACTGCTCTAAAAATGTTCCTGATTTGTAATCTCTGTTCCAGGAATATCTCCTGCTGAACAAAGAGTCACTGCTTTTGCTGAGTTTACCCAGACGGGTTGCACTTCTATCTTCCAGTACAAATAAGGAGGAAAAACCCTTTGGTTACATCTTCCTCACTTTCTCCCTCCTTGTGTGGAATCAGCCATTACAATTTATCTATCTGACAACAATTTTCTCCTTCCTTGCAAATACCAGGCTGGGGAAAAGTAGACTTTTCCTCCTTCAAGAAAACAGGTGATAACTGTAATACTGGGTCTACTTGTATCCATTTTTTTTCTCAATTGAGGGAGAAGAGCAGAAAGAATGGACACTGGTAGACCCTTTGGCTTCTTCTGAAGTTAGAAGTTCCTGAAAGCCAAAGGGAGGCGAGGATTCTGCCCTTTTGAGTAAAATGGAAAGGATGGCATGGTAGTATTACCTGGCCATATTCTTGTAGAAGTTTGGCTGTTATCAGTTCAGCATCCTAGAACACAGAGAAGGGGGAAGGGGAAGAGACAGACAGGGGGCAAGAAGGTAGCAAGTAAGAGGAAGAAGAATCAGTTATGGGGAAGGGTGGGGGAGAAAGAAGCAGAGAGTGCAGGTTTTCTGTCATTCGTTGGCATCCTTAAAAAAACAGCATGGGTTGCAAGCAGCAAATAAATTCATTAGAAAGCAGTTGTACTGTAGAGCTGCAGCATATGAATACAAGAATGTGTGTGTTCCAGTTTATTTTTTTTAACAACTTGCTCAACTGAGGAGGCCAAATGCTTGTCATTGGCAAAGAGGAAAACCTGCTTGTTTTAATTCTTTGTGATGCTTATATGACTACAGACCAGCTGCACGTAAAAATACAATGCATTCTATTTTGAGAAAGCTGTTGTCTTTGTAGCACCTTGCCTGGTTTAAAGTTTTGGTGAATTCAAATGCTTGCATAGTTTTTGATGCCCTTCTTGTATGGATTTTGGACTTTATTTTTCTCTCTCCTGAACCAACACAGCTGTCTTTGTTTTTTTCTGGGCAAGCTGTGTGTCTGCACTAACTGTTCTCCTAGCTCCATGTCCCATGACATATTGGGAACATCTGCTATTATTAATTATGGTGATGCCCTGGATTCAAGAACCACTGCTGGGAATGAATGGTACTAATTCTTATGCACTATTTCTCCTAATGGCTAAATTGCCTTATTTAGAATTAGTAGGATGCTCTGTATACAGTATGTAGTGTTTCCCTTCAGTAATGGGGTTACTCCTGTACCTTTAAAGTTGTATAGGTATCACAGAACTAAAAAAAAAAAGGCTTGAAACTGAACTAAGAAATGAAAAGTTAGTAATTCCAAACAGGTTTCCTTTGTAACAGCATGTATAAGCAATTACTATATGTGGCTATTGATTACAAAGATATTGCAGTAATTTTAAACCTCATCAAATATTATATAGCATCATGTTCATGATTTATAGTGATTTATAGACAAACCTTTTATTTTTGATACTATTGAAGTGCACCCGATGTTACATATAAAACATCTAGTGCCTTCACATTGAGATGCCTAAATAGAATTATTCTTTTTTCTTCTTCTTAAAAATACCTCTTCCATGTAATTATTTTTGGACAATACCATACTTTGTGAAAATTATTCAGCAACTTTGCCATCCATTCACTGGGTTGTTAGGAAAGTGAGTTCAGGTACCAGATTATAATTTCCTGATTGGCTTGCTGGACTATGATATCAGAGATGGAGTCTTTAGAAAGCTTAACCTTTCTAAAGAGGATGTCTTTCCTACTGACATTTTGTAATAACAAAAATAGCACTCATGGAAAAGGAGAAAAGATGTAGCAAGGAAAACCTGCCTAACAACATCCAAATATCAGGTTCATGTGACTCTCTTTCTAATCTATCTTTTGTCCAATTAAACAGTCAACATATGCTGAAGCCTATAGACAGATAATAACTATTTTAGTAAGGCTGGCTGTGTCTGATTTTACCTTGAATTCTTATTGGCTTAGTTTTCATATATTACTTATTCCCAATAAACCTCTTTTCATTTAAAAAGGGAATTTCTTGCTAAAACCTCCCCTATGTATGACACTGCATGTTTATATCTTATGTTTCAGAATTGGCCTTTAAAAAACAACATTTTTAAAAGTTCTGCAGTGCTGACTTTGGTCAGGAAGATCAAAGGGTTCCTTTTCTGTTTTTGCAGACCCAGACAAATGACTTAGAACTTCCCAATGAGACAAATTTGTCAGAAGAGTCAGCCCGATTGCTGGCAACTAACTATTATTATATATTTTAATAGGGAATCTTTCGAAGAAGGGGTCTGCCAAAGAAGTTTAAATTACCACTCCTAGTTTATGCAACTCCCAAAGATTTCAAAAGGCTGATTATGTTTCACTTACTGATCTTCCCCAACAGCATTACAACAATGTGCAAAATTTCCACTGTTGGAAACAGAGAAGGGCAAGCATTGCACTTCCATTTATTTATTGTGCTTATGTTATTTCATGCCAAGAACTCAAAGAATGGTGTATAACACACCGGGTTCTGGATTTTCACCTTCTTCAACATTTGCTATTTTCAGCCATGCTTTATTATATGCTTCAAAATCTTTGTCCCTATATATTCATCTTGCAATCAATCATCATATATAGATGTATCTCTTATCTAAAATCAATTTAAAGCACCTAGCAAGGTTGGAGGCTTATACCACTATTTAAGGATCAAGTCTATTCAGTGTCCTTTAGCAATAATTATACTAGAAACTGATAATGGTTGAAGGATGTAGGTTTATTCAGATGTGAAAGGAGATAGAGTCCCTGCATTTTTCTTAGTTGAGTCGAAACTTTAAGAAAATTTGGTATGCCAAAAACTTGCTGAAATATCCTGTCTTATGAAACATGCAGGATCTTTTTCTCCTTTCATGGTTCCCCTCAATAAGAGGTTTAATTCTTAGCCAGCCATTATTGTGTATATAGTATTTGCTGTTCCCCACTGGAAGAACACAAGGCAATTAGAATATGTCCTTTTGTCCTTATTATTGTCATTGGCTGAATGCTTTAATACCAAAAAGGAAGTTCCAGGGAAAATTAAAAGTAGGCCTTGAGGAAGCAGGACCCTGACAGATTGATTACACTAATTCCTGGCAGTGCCCTTAACAACTGCTTGGAAAAACAACTGCCACTTTTCCCCCCCATTGGCTTTGTACTAGAGTCTTCAATAGTCATGATGTGCAAGTCACTCTATATGCAAGTGTTTCTCAGCTTCAGTAACTTGAAGATGTGTGGACTTCAAGCCCCCAGCATGCTGGCTGGGGAATTCTGGCAAATGAAATCCATACATCATCAAGCTGCCAAAGTTGAGAAACACTGATCTGGGCTGCAGAAAGCTTTATCTGCCGAATTCTATACATCAAAAATAGCTGTTAAAGAAACAAATAGGTCAAGCTGATTCTCCTCTCTCCTAATCAGCTAACAACAGTATTTCCAAGTAGCTTTTAATCTTTTAATGTTGCATCAAAATAATCTAGGAATATTAGTGTATCATGCTTGATAGGATTCCAGTGATTGTATAAAACCTATGTGGATGTGGAAAATTTGTCTCTCTCCAGATGCATGCTAAATCACATTGCCTTTCATTTTTCACCAACTGGCCTGCTTAGTAGGGACTACAGGTTGTTGAAGTACAGCAACTACAAGACGATCTCGGGTTCTCTTGTCTCAGCTAAGAATTATATTTAGATGTACAATTATAATTTATTACCTACTGCTGCTGGGGAATTAGATACAGGTTTGATCATTTTCCAATAAGAGCATAACAGCTGTTACATCTTCACCTCTAAGACTTGCAAAGTAAGGATGACCAACAAGTAGCCAAATAGCCACAGACAGTATGACCAGTGATAAGGAATGATGAGAATGGCAAGCCAACAATATCAAAGAAAAGCATGCATTGTTTACCTTTCCTTTAAAGAGACAGGCATTCGACCATGCATGGATCTGAGCCTAGAAAATTTGCAACTTGACATAGGAAATTTTTAGCTAGTAATAAAAGAAGGGTGGCATACACAGAACATCAATCTCTGGTGTCTCTATTTTAAATGGTTGCAGCTCAAAAACCTGGAAAACTATTGCCAGAATGATAAACCTATGCGGTAGGTTTTGAAAGAAGGCAGTTATGAATGCAAAGAAGTAGGACTGGTAAAGATGGAAAGAAGCAGAATTGGATACAATTTAGAAATATGCTGATGAGAAGGGGAAAAAATCAGCAGCAGAAGAACGGGAAGAGACAGTTCCCCCCCCCAACCCCCCACTTTGTACTGACCCTGCCTGGATCAGGTGCTCCCGGGGCTCGCAGTAGTGGCTTTTCTTCAGTGATTTGCACTTCCTGGAGTTCTGTCATGGCACCTGGGACAAAAGACAATCAGGGGATATGTTAATTGGGGAAATTATATACTAATGAACCATTGACTGGGTGATGTCACTTTCATTCTCCCTCACTTGATGACAAATGATGGCTGCACATATGGTTTAGAACTAACCTAAATAGGTAAGATGTAGCTATCCAAATATAACCCCTTCCAATGTGGCCGCATAGTCTTTCATTCAGTTGCCAAACAGCAAGTGAATGCTAAATCAGTCAGGTATATCCACAGTCCAGAATACTAGTTGCTCTGCCCTGCAATGCTACCTAGCCAGGTAACGAAATATCCCCAGGAAGAAAAAACATCACCAAGAAACTAAATAATCAAGAACTCAATATGCATGTATGAACACCAATTGCTTTGAACTTAAGTTAACAAAGATGTGGATCCTGCCATTCATCAAATGTATTTTTTCTACTACAAGCAACATTTAGTTGCTCATAGACATCTTCTGAACTATGGTACATCTATGAACATGTTATAAAGTGTTAACAGGGCATGTTAAAAACCAGCACTGAAACCATTAATTTCACAGTAAATGTGAGACATTGGACATATAAAAGAATCCAAGTAATTTTGAAAACTGCCAAATCTTTCATCTAATTTTTAAAGTTTAATTCTAGCCCTTTCCTGTATACATCTATACTGTTTTAAGATCAGCCTTCCCCAGCTTCCTACCTTCCAGCTAGGCTGGGACTACAACTCCCAAAATCCCAAGCCATCACAGCTCTTGGGAGTTTTGAAGCTGTGGTCTGACAACATCTGAAAAGTGTCAGATTGAGAAAAGCTGTTTATGGCTGCTCTCCAAAACAAACTTGAATTCATTCTCAGTCTATCACCTCCAAAATAAAATCTTTTTTTTTATAACAGCCTTTTAAGGGCTAAAAAATCTTTTAGACTGTTTTGTAGACAGATTGATATGCTTGGTGTTCTGTGACCTTGTGATGTGTTTGAGATACTTTCCCTTGATTTGAGTGGGGTTTTAACTCTGTGGAATTGAAATGGTTTTCTGTTCCCCATTTGTACAGAAAATTATCTTGCTTTTCTGCAGATAGGGGAACTGAAGCTGAGAGAGGATAACACAACAAAGGTGAAGAAGTCAACCCTAATCTCCTAGATCTAGACCCTCTCATTATGTAATCAGGCATGATTTCATATAAACAGCCACACCTTGGCAAGTGACCAGCACCCGCCGAATAAGATAGGAATATAAACACTTGCTTTCTACTGAGTTGAACTGCTGATCCTCTGCAGTCCATCTACTGATATTGACAATTGCATATCCATTTTCCCCTCATCTGCAGATGGAAAATATCTTTGAAGGCCTTGCTGGAAATACCACAAATTTAATCAGTGGACTTCCACAGATGAAAGAGCCAGTTGGGTCTAGTGGTTAAGGCTCCGGGTCAGAAACTTTGACCTGTGGTTCTGCCTTAGGCATTAAAGCCAGCTGGATAACTTTGGGCCATTCAATCTCTCAGAGCTAAACTCTAACTCACAGGATTGTTGTTAAGGGGAAAATAGGAGGAAGGAGTATATGTAGGCCTGATGCCTTGAGTTATTTATTAAAAATATAATAAAATTCTTTAAAAAAATAAAAATAAAAGGTACTTTACCAGTGAACTACAGTTTGTAGTTCACTGTATTTCAAAGATTGCCATGACATGTTTTAGGACTCTTTCAATATTCCAGGAAGTTTCAAGATGCAATGCTCTGTTAAGGCACTTTTAGAAGTGCTCAAAAATCAGCCCCCTATTGTCCTTGGTAGCTTTGAACAAAAATATCCAATGCAATCCACAGATTGATCATGAATCACAGAATGGCATGGCTCCCTCTGCAAGAGGCACAGCATTAGCAGTGTTGATTGTTGGGATGGCAGCAGATAATCAAGACTTGTAACAATTGCTTCATGAGTAATAAAGGTAGCCCTCAAGTTATGATTAGTTACTTATTGACCATTCAAAGTTACGATGGTCCTTCCTGGGACTACTTATGACTTGGTTCTGAAGTTCTGATGGCCATCTTTCCAACCATGATCACATGAATGCATTTCAGGTGCTTGCAACCGGCTCACATTTACAGCTATTTGTAGCATCCCATGATTATGTGACCATGTTTTACTCTGGTTTTACTAAAAAGTGGTATTTACTTCTACTTTTTGGCAAAATCAGCCCTTACCAAACCATTCATTCACTTTTTTTTTCCAGAGCTAAAAAAATAAATAAATTATAAAATTCAGTTAGTTATGTGGATGATCCAATTTATGACTATCATGACTTACAACCATGATGGGCAGGATCCATTATGTGAATACATCGAGGGTCAGCTGTATAGTAATGACAAAAGAATTCCAAGAGAGGCCTCAATGCTCTTCAATTTTTTTCTTTTAAATAACAATTCTGCAGCATATTCCAAACACCACTGGAATTAGTCATTTAGCAATGCATGAAACCTATTATTATTTATCTGGTCGATTTTAATATGATAGTAGTAGCCATCTGGAACAGCAAAAAAAGTTCAGACCAATAAAGCTGCAAAGTCGTGTTCAAATTTTTTCAGAAGAAGTCTCCTCCAGGGCTTAGGATTCCCTATTTACCCCTTCCCTTGTTCTTCTAGAATAGGGGTGTTAAACTCATGGCCCGTGGCTGTCATGTGATGACATGTCATTGCGAGTTTGACACCCTGTTCTAGAAAATACATTCAGTTCCTAAATGCTTGCATTTCTAGAATATCTTAGCTTTCTTAGCTTTCAACAGAAACATAGGTGAAGTTGTATGGCATATGCAGGTACAACCATACATTTTGGAATGTGCTCCAAACATATATTTAATATCCTGCCAATTTGCAGGACAAATCTAGTATAAGTTAAGTGTGTGGAATCAGGGGGCACATATTTACAAATCACATAATGCTGTATAGTCATTTTAAGATCCTTTCTCTATATTCCCAGAGAGAATAAGACTTGAGATTTGAGTAAGATTTGGGCAGTCTTAGTTTACATATTATGGTAAACCATGATTCAATTAGTCATAGTTTACATATAAACATTGCACAAAATATTAAACTAAAACCAGTCAATAGCTTGCTCTGATTGACCTACTCCCTGATTAGGTTAGTAGCAATAGCAATAGCACTTAAGACTTATATACACTTCATAGTGCTTTACAGTCCTCTCAAAGCAGTTTACAGAGTCACCATATTGCCCCCAACAATCTGGGTCCTCATTTTACTGACCTTGGAAGATGGAAGGTGATTCAACCTTGAGTTGGACTGTGAATTAACCTGTAATACTTCATTCTAACCACTGTGCCACCACAGCTCTTTTGTGCTAGCAAAAATTAAGCAAATAATGGCTTAGTACATTGTGCTTTCTTATGGTTTGGTGAGCAATAAACCATAATCACTGTCGTTCAGACTACATACCAAGCTAAAACCAAACAAACCACATATATGATGTGGAACCTAGCATGTATATTTTAATTGTGTTATACCCATCTGGTTATTTAGACCTATTCAGAAAACATACATTTCAAAATGGAAAATTTAAATTAAATCAGTTTTTATTTTTGCCTATTTAATTCACCAGAATAAAGCTATCGATCTTGTTCACTTGGCAGTTTGGGCAAATTACCTTTGCTTCAGAGTTGATTCATACATGTTCATATATCACTAATGCAACATACTGAACAGAGCATTTTCACCACAATTATGATTTCTAACTTACAGTCTAAAAATGACTGATGATCTCTCCGCGTATTGCAGTAATCTTTGGTATGGACACTAATGCAATGTAAGCTATTATTGTATTAAATTACGTTAGGACACATGTGTCCAAAATATCACCAACTTCAACAAATTTTAGTTTTCCTAACCAAAACCTTGCAAGTTATAGATATATCACATAAGATTTAGCAATCTTATAAACTTTTGGTCATATTTTTTATATGTATATTTATATGGCTGCAAGCCAGTGACTCCTGAAAAGTCCATGTAGTTTTCTTGGCAAGATTTCAGAAGTGGTTTGCCATTGACTGTTTTCTAGGGCTGAGATAGAGTGACTGGCCCAAGGTCACACAGCTGGCATCATGCCTAAGGCAGGACTAGAACTAAATTGGTGTCACAGTTTCTATTCTCTTTAATCATTACATCTTTGGCCATTTAATTGGTTTTAAAAAATAATTGAGGTTCAAAGCCTTATTCCAAATAATTTCTCTGTGTGCAAATCCTTAATATACAGAAGTGTATCTGAGCTTTAGATGTATCATATAGCACCCCACTTAAAGATATAGCTAAATACAATGCAGAAGGTCCATCTGAATGTGGGGACTGTTTTTATCCATCACATAATGATATCTGCACATCATCAGTTGATGCTGAACTCCATTGTGGAACAGTCATGACCTATCTATAGTAGTTTACAGCCTTCTTATGAAAACCTTTTAAAAAAACAAGAAGTTGCACAAGACCAGAATACAAAGTGATTAACTGTACTGTGCTAGAGGTGTGTCTACATATGTTCTGCCAACCCAGACATATATCCTGATGCGTCTTCTCAGCTGAAAAAAAAAATGGAACTGGCATTCCTCTTGCCTCAAGGGAAACTTGGAATATGGAACTGTACAGTCACAAATACTTCTAGTTAGTATGATAGTACACTGAATTATAGCTACAAAGATTCGAATCCCAGGAAGGTCTCTTCTATGGACCTACCCAATCCTATACAAAGAGAAATAAGAGACATGTAGCACTGTTTGTTCCCAAATGGATAATCTCCCCCCACCATCTCTACTTCCCAGTCCCTAGTACATAATTCAGAGAATGCTTACATGCCCTATCATGCTACAAAAGATTTTGCATTGGCATTCTTCTTGCAATGTAAAAAGAGGGGAGAGCGAAGGAAGGCAAATGCATGACTAAGCATTCCCCCCTTCACTCTTAGCAACTAGGCTATTTCTCTTCTGCCTGGCTGCAAGCCCACCCTCTCTTCCATCTTAGTGTTGCTCCATTCTTGGCCCTGGGGTAGACTCCTTAGGGCCCTGTAAGAACAGGCAACCTTCCATTCTTCTCCTGTCTATCTCTCTCCCCTCCTCCCTCAGGTACTATGTCTGCTTCCCACACTGGACTCAATCCAAGGATCTCCCTCCTGGGCCATAAATAGCTGTTTCGATCACCATGAACTCGGGCAGCCATCCAGTTCCCCAGGAGCTCCTTGCCACTGAGGGGCCCTTAATGGGGCCTGTAAAGAGCAAACATCCAGAAAATCATAACTCCAGGCTCCATGATGTAGCAACTCTACACTTAATAGATACCCCCAGCCCTGTACAAAGAAACCTAGACTAATGCCAGGCATTAGGATTCCACCATTCCTCCTTAAGAAGGAAAGTATGGACTAGGGGAGTGGAAGATCCATATTTCCAAATGGAAATGTTATCCTGTTTCTAGCTTAATAGATTAGGGGGCTCCTGACATTAAGAATTCTTCTTGGCTTCTTTGTCTCATTCATTCCCAATATGCTTTCCAAAATTGCTTCCTTTTTTCCTTCTTCTTCTTTTCATCTGGTTTGGCAGGACTCCAGGTTTTTGACCACCAGCTCAACTTAGAGGCCAAAGACCAACAGGTGTAGTTTATGCAGCTTAGAATTGCTTTGCTAGACATTCCACACCAGTTGAACAGTTAAATGCAAAAGAAGCCCTACTAGGAATAAGTTTTCATATGCTAAGCCAAAGGACTCTGAGCAGCACCTTCAGAGTTGCACAAAACGCAAGATGTAGATTAAGTACTGTTTACATGTAAGCAATGCATACTGTATCTTTTTCCTCTAAATCATAGAAAGATGAGTAGAGAAGCTGATTACATTGGATCTTGGGTTAAATAGTTCATCCGCTATGGGTGAGGAGTCTTTGAAGCTACTGTTTTCCATGATGCAGCCTAAGATGTGGGATACTGGGAATGTGGTTCAGCTTTGGATCTTCAAAATTTCCCTTTCCTACCTAAAGGACCTCCTACCTCTTGTTAATGTTAAAAGCACCATTTGACTTCATCTTTCTAGCCCAAATTTACAAAGGTATCAATTATTAGCATCCATTTAGGAATTAAGAATTTCAAATGTATGATTCATCCAAGCTGTAGCAAGCTACACGTATACTTACTGACCAGTCCCAATTTTCTTGGTCCCGAATCTAGGTTTAGTGACAGCTCAGATCTGACCTTAATAAAATATGCTCTCATTTAAAAGTAAAATAGAAACAATCGAAACTATGTGACAAGTGGAACACATGGAAGCACATGTGGACAGACTAAATCAGTTGCTGGTACAACCTTTCATCTTGGCTTATTCCCACAACCTTTTTCTTTGGCCAGTAAGGTATCAGCTCCTTACCTCACATCTTCAGGGGGCTGAAGGTCAGATTACGCCCTTCTGAAACATGGCTAGAGGCAAACTCACCCTTGTATGAGAAGCATTCCCTTTATTTTCAGCACAAGACCAGGAAATGCTTGTGGGCCAACAGGATAACCAGTGCCAGAAAGTTTCCAGGTGCCTACAGGTTTCAGCATAAGGAGTGGCTCCCTGCCAAGCCCCTTTGGCACATCCACATGAAGCCTCTAGCTGCAAAAACAGGCAGCACAACACACCCCAGTCTGGCTCTTGGGAATAGGAACATTCTCTCATCTCCCCCAACATGCCTTACTCTCAACTAGGAATAAAAATCTTTGGACTTCATTCATAGATTCCCCATGGCATATCTAGCCTATGTGTACCCAGTGCTTTCCCAAGCTTCCTTTTTGTAACCCCTGCAAATAGAAAGAACCCAGTTTTACTCCCTAGTATTCGCCTGGCAAGCAACCAGTTCCTGCTTCTGATTGCTCTTTTTTAGCCCTCTCCCAGGAAATGCAGGGATCCCCAAATTCGCCTGCTTTAACTCAACCCATCTCTCAGAAATCTAGCACTAGATTCTGCTGTTTGTGTTTGTAGCTCTTTAATGGGCTGGGCTGGATTGTGTGTGTGTGGGGGGGGGGGGGGGGGGGGGGAAGAAACATCCCAAAGTGCTAAGGGACAAGCTCCCTCATTGGAGATCCATTCTATTTACCTAGTTAATAATTCTATTAACCACCATTTACGGGGCTGATCTGCTCCCAACCCTACCACTCTAAAGCCAATTCCTTTGGAAACTATCTGTCACCCCTCCCACACATCTGGATTCCTGAACCTGTGAAACTCTTGGCTTCAGCGCAGGCTTCTAGCCATTAGCACTTAGAACTCTTGACAGCTTGGGTCTAGCGTCCAGCAGCATTTAGTTTACGCACTCACCTGCATTTAACCTCTTCTTCTGTGCAAGGCCCTTCTTCCCCAGAGACCCAGACAAGCCAGCACACACATTCCCCCCACCCTTTTACTGCAATTCGATTAATCCTCCCATCCTTTTTCTCTCTCTCTCCCAGGAGGTAAGGATCTCGGGCCCTCCCACCTGATACCCTCCCTCCCAGTACCCTCAAGGAGAAAAGGTTCTCCGCTGCCCAAACCAGCAGGCAATTTGGACCTTCAAGGTCTGGGTGGGGACAGGAAAGGCTGTCTCCCATCCGGACTGTTGTTTCTTTCCCCCGACCCATTTGACATTTGAATTTGCCGATTAGGTCAATTGCACAGAGAATTGAAGAACCCAAGCAGGTTATTAATCCGAAGGAACTCTGGCTCGGGTGGGAAAGAGAAAGCCCCCCTCCCCCAATCAAGACTTAAGAGCGACGAGGAGGGAAATGCTAGCATTAATAACATAGGCATCGAGGCCGCCCCCTACAGCACAAGGCTGTTTTGACTTGGGCAGAGGCGGCGGAGGACTTTTATTTGTTTGTTTGTTTGCAGCCTGCTTTGGGAATGAAGGCTACCCAATTTGGGGTGGGTGTGGGGTTTGGAGCCGAAAGGTGGGGAGGTGGTTCTGTAATACAGAGCACGCTCTCCTCTTAAGGCTTAACGCACACCGTGCAACAGATTTCCCTTGCCTGGTTTTTCGGGGTGCTCGATCTGGGGAGAAACAAGCATACGAGGAAAAGAGGGGAGGGGGAAAGGGAAAAAAAAGAACAATAACATTTTCAATTTAACAGCCCCTCCCCCACATTGTCTACCACCCCCTTGTTTCGGGATACCCTCTGTCCGTGCGTCGCTTCGTCTGTCTTGTCTGCGGCGGCTTGTCTGCCTGCGCTCCGCCACTCGGTTTCTCCTTCCACCTTCACTTGCCTTTGACTCTCTGACTGCAAACACCACCTCCCCCCACCCCAGGGAGACCCCTCCCCCCGGATCCTCTCCCCTCCCCCTTCCAGCTCCGCCTCTGCCAATCCGGGCTGCTAACAAGGAAAGGAAAAGGGGCGTGAGGGGAGGAAATCGGGGAGGAGAAGGAAAGGGGGGCGAAACGGGCAACCATATTTCTCCAGATCCTGGTAACAACGGGGAGCCCCACAAAGGCGACCTCACCCCACCTCCTCCATTTCATCCTTCATTTAGCCTCTCCCTCCCCAGCTAAATTCGGATTGACTACATTGCAGGATGCTAATATTTTTAGATGTGTCTGTTTTTGTAGCTGCAAAAACGAAATATGGCAAGTAGTGGTGAACCTGCGCCGCCTGGAGGTCGAAGGTCCCTCCCCATTTGTAAAGGGGGCGGAGGCGAGCAACATAAAACCGGTAATAATCCGGAGTAATATTAATAACAGCACACACACGCACAGCTGTTTCTGCTTTCTTTTAGCATAATCCTTGACGTACTAGGAGCTTCATATATTTTTTTTCCTACTGTAGCCTTCAGTCCAGCCACAAAAGCGCCTCGCTTGGTGCGGTAGGAAAGGCGGAGTCCTGTCAAGCGGCGGTTGTAGTTGGTGAGCCTTCCGCACAAATTAGCGATTATTTATTTATTTATTTTTGTCAATTGCTTACAATATAATAGGTATAAATAAAAACATAGTTATGGATACATGGATACATATAAGAAAAATAAAAGAAACAATAGGACAGGGACTAGGCACGTTGGTGCGCTCATGCACGCCCCCTACAGACCACTTAGGAAAGGGGTGAGGTCAATAGTAGACAGTCTAAGGTTAAAGTTTTTGGGGTTTGGGGAAGAAACCAGAGAGTCAGGTAGAGTATTCCAAACATTGACTGCTCTGTTGCTGAAGTCGTATTTCCTGCAATCAAGTTTGGTGCGGTTTACCTTTAGTTTGTATCTATTGTTTGCTCTTGTGTTGTTATGGTCGAAGCTGAAGTATTCATTGACAGGTAGGACATTGCAATATATAATTTTATATACTATACTTAGATCAGACCAAAGGCGCGTAGTTCTAGATTTTCTAGGTCTAGAAATTCGAGTCTGGTGGCATAAGGTATTCTGCAACGAGTAGAGGAGTGGAGAACTCTTCTTGTGAAATATTTCTGGACTTTCTCAACTGTGTTAATATCAGATACGTAATGTGGGTTCCAGACTGATGAGCTGTATTCGAGTATTGGTGTAGCAAATGTTTTGTATGCTCTAGTTAGTAGTGTAATATTACCAGAGAAAAAGCTACGTAAGATTAGGTTAACAACTCTTAACGCCTTTTTGGCTATGTAGTTACAGTGGGCTCTAGCACTTAGATCATGAGAGATGAGTACTCCAAGATCCTTGACAGAGTTTGGCTCGTCAACAAGGTGTTGACTATTCAGCCTATATTTTATTTTCTGATTTTTTTTGCCAATATGTAAGACAGAGCATTTATTTGTTGAGATTTGAAATTGCCATTTGTTTGACCATTCTGATACATAGTCAAGGTCTTTTTGAAGGGTATTTTTGAAGTATTGTCTGTGGTGTTGAATAGCTTTACATCATCAGCGAAGAGAACACAGTTGCTCTTGATATGATCACAGAGGTCATTTATGTAGACTATGAAAAGAGTTGGTCCTAGAACACTGCCTTGGGGGACACCACTGTTGACAGGTACAGAATTTGATGGGACACTCTCAATTTTGACCATTTGTTGTCTGTTTGAGAGGAATGCTTCTATCCAGTTATGCAGGTGTCCAGAGATGCCATAAGATTTTAGTTTTAGGAGTAGTTTGTCATGTACCACTGAATTAAAGGCTTTACAGAAGTCTATGTAGATTGTGTCTATTGCTTTGCCCTGATTGAGTTGTGTAGTCCATATGTTTTTGCAGTGTAAGAGTTGCAGATTACATGATAGTTTTTTCCTGAAACCAAATTGTTTATTAGAGAGTAGGTTGTTTGTCTCTAAGTGGAGGATGATGGATTGATTAATAATTGATTCCATGACTTTACAGGTGATGCAGCATAAAGAGATTGATCTGTAATTTTCAACTAGGCTGGGGTCTCCCTTTTTGAAGATGGGGATGACCGTGGGTTGTGACCATAGTTTTGGCAAGGAGCTGGTCCTGAAAGATTTTTCAAAGATTATGCTTAGAGGTTTGACTTTGGCAGTGGGTAGCTTTTTTTAAGAAGTCGGCACCTATTCCGTCCGGTCCAATAGATAGAGATGGTTTTAGATTGCGTAGTGCTTTTTCAACATTGTCTTCTGTAAAATCAATATGTATTAGATCATTATAGTTGTCTGTGGTTCAACTTGGAAATACTGGGCATGATCCATTGCTGTTTACAAATACTGAGCCAAAGAATGTGTTAAAGAGGTTGGCTTTAATAGTGTCATTGTTGCAGTCTTTACCATTAGGTCCTTTCAGCGGTGAGATGGACCTTGAGTCTTTTAGTTTGTTGTTTACAAAATTGTAAAAAGTGCGGGTGGAATTGGTGCGTAGAAGGTTTTCTTCTTATTTAATGTGATAATTGGTGCATTCAGTTTTTATCTGGTGGCATAAATTTTTGTATTGGCTTTTGAAGTTGGCAACGTGACCAGATTTGTTTTTCCACCAAAGTGATTTCTTTTTGGATTGAACTTCCTTATTGTTATGGGTAATTTGTTTTTTCTGGTTTTGGGAGTTGTTAATGGTACATATAGTTTGATGACTCTTTTGACTTCAAGTAAAAATATGTTGTCATGGTCTTCTACAGTATTGCATCCAGAGAATAGAAATTGCCAATCAAGGGATGAGAGATCGTTGTTTATAAGATCATAATTGCCTTTTTTGAAGTTATAATTGGGGATTCTGTCGTTGTGATGATTTTTGTGTGGACGTATGTTGAGACAAAAGTGAATCATGTTGTGGTCACTGTTGGAAAAGGTTTCTTTAGTTTGTATTCCATAAATTGAATTCAAACTATTGCAGAAGATGAGATCGAGGCAGTTAAGTCTAGTGTTGTTGGTTACTAGTTGTTCTAGTCCCAGATTTGTTACTGCATTGTAGAAGGTTACATGTGTAGGTCCAGTTGTACATTCATTAAGTTATGAGGTAGATTGAAGTCACCAAGAAAGATAAAAGCGTGTGGGCAGGATGCTGTCCATGTTAGTAGTGTATTTAGCTTGTTTGCATGTTCGATGTCATAATCAGGGGCTCTGTAACATAGTAAGAACCAAAATGTGATATTTAAGGACAGTTCGCAGACCATGGTCTCAGGGATAGCAAGCTCCTGGGTGACTTGGATGTTTTTTAGATGTAGGAACTTTTTATAGAAGATAGCAACACCACCTCCTCTACGGATTTCACGATCTGATCGGTAAACATGATAGTCTCTTAATGTGGTAATGGAGTCAGGGAGAGATGCATTGAGCCATGTTTCACAGACAAATATAATGTTGAATTTAGCCATATTTAGTAAGAGGAGAAATTCAGGTATTTTATTTTCAAGGCTTCTTGCATTGAGTAGCTTGCATTTAAGGCCAGTTGGAATAGAGGTAGTTAGGGGCATGCGTGCCTAGTTTTGAGTGATGTTGGATTGGATGGGGTGGGGTTGGATGCGGAGTTGTGGGTTGTGTGACTTTCTTTTGATGTAATCAGCTCTATAGTCAATGTATAGGCCCTTTTCTCCATTGTCTAGACAGTTTTTGAGTTCTGCGCGGAGTTCACAGGAGCGGATTCTTTGCAGTATGGATAAGTCTGGTCTTGTGCGAAGTTTTTTGTGGTTGGGATTGGCTAGGAAGCAAGCAATGTTTTTTTCTTCTCTTTTTTTAAATAGAAAGCCCTGGATTATTATTTCCACTCTCCAGCATGCCACCAGTTCATTTCTGTTGACTGGGGAAATCGAAGGGAGCTTTTCCTGTAATTTCTCATAAATCTCCTTTTTGCTACCCTTCACTGGCCATAATGGCACATATCAGAAGTGGTTTGCTATTTCCTGCTTCCTAGGATTGGAAGAGCGTGGCTAGCTCAAGATACCCATTTGGTTCTATGCCTGAAGTGAGACTAGAACTCAGGTCTTATGTTTATTCCCACTGTTCCATTAAAATTAAGTTAAGCACCAGAGTGCCATCACAAATTTAATGTTAATGTATTGAGCAATTTATTATAAAGGACTGTAAGTACAGGTAGTCCTTGAGTTGCAATAACAATGGAGCCCAAAATTTCTGTTGCTAATTGAGATACCTTTATTTGCTAATAAAAGTTTTATAATCTTTCTTGCCACAGTGACTAAATGAATTACTGCAGTTAAGTTAGTAATATGGTTGGTAAGTGAATCTGGCTTCTCCATTGACTTTGCTTGTCAGAAGGCTGCAAAAGGTGATCACATGACCCTGGGACACTGCACCAATCATAAATATGAACCAGTTTCCAAGCATCTGAATTTTGATCACATGATTATGGAGATACTGCAACAGTCAGAAGTGTGAAAAATGGTCATTTCATTTTTTCCATGGTCACTAAATGAATTGTTGTAAGTTGAAGACTACCTATATACTTCTGTTTTTTCAGACCTCTTATCCAAATTGCCAGGTAGATCTATGTTATCCCTGTTTTTTGGGAAGTGAGATCCAATTTAATTTGGATCCCATTTCACTAATCTGGTTCCAAATTAGTCTGCCAAGAATGGAAGGTGCCATTTGCAGTTGTCAAACCCAGGCACCAGATCCAGATAGGAACATTTGCCTGTGATTGTTTCCAACTCTTGTCTTTTTCTTCTGGTTCAAGGAAGAATGACTTTTAGCATTTTTCAATCTTAGTCTGTTTATTTTTCAAAGTATAGCAAGTACCAAGTTTGATGAATGCTAGTTTTATTACTGTGACAGCTGATCACTAGAATGAATGTTCTGAATACCATGCATAATTGGATGGACTGAAGAAGATTTTGTATGCTTGTATGTGTATGTTTTTGAACAAGTTTTAACTCCTGCTGATT